CCCACTTTAAAATGAGTGGATGGTGAGGTATTTTTGTGTGAAGACGGACGTACGTCTATCATATCGTATAGTATCATATTGTATATTGTATCGTATTGTATCTTATCGTATCGTATCGTATCGTATTGCGTACCTGCTTACCTGAAAGTTAGAGCATTTTAAACTGCTATTAAAAAATGTATGATGGAGATGCATTTAAAACTACTGCACTAATGTTGCTATAAAGAAAAGTTTTTATGTCATTATGATTTTAGTGCACGTGTGTGATCGCTGAGTTGCGGTGCCTACAATTAAACACAAATTTATACATTCTCAACTTTCTATATACAGTGCATGTGTTATACGCATATACACCGTATATACATACATACGCTTACAAACAATTACACATACATACATACATACACACACTACATAAATACATACATGCATATACATACACATATACATACATAAATATTCATATACAAATGCCAACGTACACACACTCACACAGGAACGTACACAGACATACAAACACGCACTCATGTATACGCACGCAAACGCGAACGCAAACACAAATACGTGAGCTTAGAGAGAAGCTGCCCAGAAAAGCAATTCCTTCACTATGCTCATATAAGTATAATTGAATGCATAATGTATATACTACTACTATTATTACTATTCTACTACTACTACTACTACTGCTGCTGTTGTTGCAGCTTCTACTATTACTACAGCTACTAACAGTTCAGAACTGCTATTGCTATTTCTGCTATGAAATTATAATTTTAATTATTACAACTAATATTTACCAGCGCGCAATAACAAGTGAAAATTATACTACTACTTTTACGATTGATACTATTAATTTTACTATTAATACTACCACTACTTCTACAACAACAACAACTACTACTACTACTACTACATCTACTACTACTACTACTAATTCTATTACTGCTACTTCTTCTTCTACTACTACTAATAATTCTATTACTGCTACTTCTTCTACTACTACTACTACTACTTCTACTACTATTACTAGCACAAAACTCGAAAAAAGACAGACAACCTATTCCATTTGAAGTAGATTTTTTATGAATTTATCTATCCTGTGAGCGCCATTTTCCGGCGCCAAAACCATTTCCGGTTAAGCGGGTTCGTTGGCCGTTATTTATTATCTTTGGCCGCTTAGCCTCTCCAAATCCTTGGGTCTTAAGTCCGCAATGGCGTTGCGCCTGTTTAAAAGTGAATTTAATTTGCAGGTTTTTTATTCGGTGTTTAGGGTTTAAGGTGATGTAGTGCGGTTGTTGTTGTTGGGGTTGTTGTTGTTTATGTTATTTTCCTTGTTTTTATTAATTTATTTATTTTTAAATTTAATTTTGACGCTACAAACCAGAACGTTGATGTCTCTGCCATTTCCATTCGCTGCTTCATTCGCAATATCAAGCGCTACTAAAATGAATTCATTTTTAAACCAAGTAAAATTATCTCTCAGTTTTCGTGTGTTTTTTTATTTTCGTGGAGTAATTTTTTGCCATCCATAAAGTAGTTGTTCGTCGCTACTTTGTTTTTATTGTTGCTTTCTGCTTTTGCCTCTCTTTAATCACGAAATGTTTTGTCTAAGCTTGTTAAAGAAAATATGATGACGACGACGATGATGGTGATGATGATGATGTGAGGATGATGATGATGCTGTGATGATGATGATAATGAGGATGACGAAAAGGGGGAGGAGTTAGTTATGATAATGAGATGACAATAAGGACTGTGATAGATAGTAGCAAATGATAGTGATGATGATAAGTTGAAGACAACATCGTCATGACGATGAAGATGATGATGACGATAAAGATGGCTATGATGATAAACTAATTAATAATTAAATTTAAATTAAAATAAACAAATTAGTAAATATTTTATTTTTCATCTGAATTTTAATGAAAAATAATTATTTTAAAAAGGTGAACATGACCTCGCAAAGTCTGTACACTTAAGGGTAACAACGCTCGTGGTAAGTAAACATCATCATCATCATCATCATCATCATCATCATCATCATCATCATCATCATCATTATTATTATTATTTTATTATTATTATAAATATAACCATCGCCATCCTTCATTATTCATCATCGTCGTCGTCTACTCCTACTACTACTACTACTACTACTACTACTACTACTACTACTACTACTTCTACTACTACTACTACTACTACTACTACTACTACTACTACTACTACTACTACTCCTACTCAACAAGCACGCACTTAGTAGCTTGAGAAAGTACAAGGAATAATTGAAAGGATCCTATCCATCCAATCTAGAGATGTTGTTGTTGTTGTTAATGACGAAGAAGATGTTGTTGTTGATTACGAAGAAGATGTTGATGTTGTTGTTGATGACGAAGATGTTGTTGTTGATGACGAAGATGTTGTTGTTGATGACGAAGATGTTGTTGTTGTTGTTGTTGTTGATGTTGATGACGAAGAAGATGATGATGTTGTTGACGGCGTCGCTGCAACTAATGATGATGATTATGATGATGTGATTGTTGTTGTGGCTACTACTGATGCGGCTGATGATGACGGTGATGATATTTGTTATTTTTGGTTTTGAAACACACACACACACACACAAACACACACACACACAGACGTACACACACATGCCATTTCAGTGGAAACATATCAATACTTCAAAGATGCAATATAAAGGAGCAAAGCTTATGAAGACGAAATAAAAATTTATTTCAAATACTATCACCTCATACAGGTATACACACGGGTATTTTATGCATACATAAGTATATACACAAACACATATGCAAATACAAATCTTTCTTCTAAATAATATATGTTGTATGTATGTGTGGGCGCGTGTATATGTGTGTTCGTGTGTGTGTAAATACGTCTAAATATTATATATTTAAATTTGTGCTGAATATGTTATATATATATATATATATATATATATTATATGTGTGTGTGTGTGTGTTTGTGTGCGTGTATGTGTGTGTGCAAACTTGCATATTTGCATACGTGCATATACAAACTTGCAAGCGGAGGACTGGATTAGAGTGTTAATTTGGAAACATGTAACACTAGATTATGAATAAGTGCTCGGATATGGAGTAAATATTTTCGTCTCTAAGATTGTGTATGAGTGTGTGTGTGTATGCATGTAGGTTGGTATGTATGTATGTTTGTTTGTATGTATGTGTGTTATGTTTGTGTGTGTGTGTGTGTGTGTGTACGTGTGCTTGCG